AAATATTTCAATCCTTCCTTATAAGGCTATTTTTAAACATTAGTGCTTCGTATGTGATATACGTATATATTACCACGTAAACTAAAACATATTACCAGGGAGTCTCGATCAAAGCATATTTCGTGTGTAAAAGGACACAAAACATACATTTTTTTTTAGATATATTTCACAAAATATTTCGTCATAAACCACGGTGATATAATTTTTTCCTGATATTGGTATAAAAGTGTCCCTTGAACATTCATGAACTCATATCTATGTGCAATGTCATAATTAAATGCCTTATGCACGATTGCCGCAACCAAAAGTCCACATAGGTGTACCTGGGCGCTCATTAGCGACGTACCTCTCCGGGTGCTGAGGGACTCACACGCCGGCTGCAAGACAACGAGCCATAGCAGGCGGTTAATACTCGTTTGGTAGTTTCCTCATCCATGTACCTATACTATACGCTAACTATCTTAATTTAACCCCCTCCCCCCCCTCTCTCAGGGACGGTCCCCTTAAGAGGCTGATATATAAAAGTACCAGACCAGTAAAAGGGCAAAGGAGGAGGAGGATATAACTAGTCTGTCACTTTACTTAGAAGAGAGAAAAATGAAAACATGATAATTAGTTTGTTACAAGAAGGGTAAGGTTTTACATGAGCAGCTGTTAATTACATAGGATATATGAGTATTAGAACATACATTCGAGCACCATCATATTATAGAGGGAAAGATAGTTACTTAGAATGAATAATACTTCCATGTCTTGACATAAAATGAACTAGAGGTATTAGTATCTTTGTTAATCTAATTTAGGCATAAAGTTGACAGTTACCTATGATACGGTGTTAGCATTTGCATCAGGATCAATAACTATCTGTTACATGTTACATATCCCCTAGTGCCACGGGTCTGTAGATTCTCCATTAACCCACTTACGATGGGTGTCCCACATATGAGACACCCGGAAAAGTAAACAATGCTGGGTGCAACGGCAGATCAAAGCTCGCACTTTGATTTTGTCGCCCATGGCGGGGGGCAGTTGCCGGACTTACCTGTGCGCTGATTTTTAAGCCCACAGAAAATATAAATTTCGGCTTGTGATTGTACCATTGCTAATGGGTTAAAAACAAACATGAGTAGGTCTAGAAATAAATTTTTGGGTATTTATAACTATGTAAGACTACTTGAGGCATGGTATCGATAGTTAGTCTTCATTGCAGGGTCATTATTCATAACAGGATCAAGTATCATCAGTTATATGTTATCTACCAGAATTTTAAACCTTTCTTAACATCAGATGTATAAATTCAAGTATTACTGAGAACAAGATCCCAGACTGTGACAGGATGTCATGAAATTGAGTACGGAATGACACTTAGTGCTATACATAATCCTAGGGTGAATTTCATGAATTTCATGAGTGATCAAGTTGTTGGGATTATGTTTGTGTAAATAAAGCAAATGATTAGTGTGACAAGTACAAAAGGCAATGATATTACACATGTTTTGAAAAATGCAATGAATGTAGTTGGAAGCAGTAACAAAGTAGTTTCTGTTAGTCATACAACATGTATGAGGGAACCCTGTGGCTGGAAGTGGGGGTGGATGCGGTTATGCTCGCCCATTGGTGTCAGCTCTATTGTTGATGATAATGAAACATTTAGACTTTTGATTAACAAAATATGCTGTGTTGTAAATTTGCAGACTTCATTTGCTGGGATGGTAAAAGGAATGAATTGCAATGAAGATAGAGTATGTTCGTTGGATGGCATATAGTGTACTGTTCTTTGAATGTGAAAGGTGACTCATGAACAGTGTAGGTTGGGGTAGGGATAGCAGGTATTAATCGGGTGCTAAAGAGGTACAATGCTTTTCATAGTGGCAAGGAGGTATTGGTGTCACTGATGAAAATGATGACTTCTTTGACCATGGTTGTTGGGGTGATAAGGGCTCATAAGGCTCATAAGTACTTGGCAAGTCAAATGAGTCGGATTGGCAACAGTAAAAAGGGCAGAATTATATCACTAACAAATTTGACATGAGGGTAGCAAAGGTAAGAGTAGGCAGCTTGAAGTAATCAGGCAGGCTTGGTGCAGGTGGATGTGTACCAGAAGAGGATCTGGTACCAATGGTTGGATGGTAAATGATGTGGGAAGACAGGTTTTGGAGGAAGCCTAATGGGATGGAAGGTAGCACAAGTCAAGGTCCGTTGATAATGTGAATCCAGGAAGAGGTTTAGCTATGCCTTTGATCAGCTGAGGAGAGGCCCTAGTATAAATGCCAAGGGAGCATGGCTGTGTTTATACTGTCATAGCAATGAAATGGAGAATATTGTACTTTGTAGGAAATATTGGTTAAAGAAAAAATGTCTTTCCTTTCAGAAACTACCCAAATAGAGGAGTGGGCCGTGGAAATTCTAGTAACTACAGAAGTAACGAGAGCCCTGCCAGAGAAGCATTTCCACCTTTTGCTGTAAGTATGAAAAGTAATTTTATCAAAATTTGTGTATGTGTGGGAGAAAGGGAGAGAAGTATCTCATAAACTTTTATTTTAACCCATCAGTGACAGGTGCTGCTATAGCCGTCATGATGTATCATATGATTTTATGCATCACTACCGAGCAAGCGGCCGGGCCAGCTGTTATCAGTACAAACCCAGCTAGAAAGCTTTTATTTGTTGTGTAATGATTGAAATGGTTTTGATAGATCTGTATGTTGGAGGTATGCACAATTCTTGAATTTTCCTTGTTTATTTTTTGCACTTCATATAAAGTAAGGTATTGAAATTTTGGTGAATTCACTGTTCCTTCCCCCCCCCCCCTTTTTTTCTTCTTCCTTTGGTTTCTCATTATGCCGTGTTTTCTGTCATTCCTCCAGATCCAAGGGGTTAAATTCAGACAATCAAAATATCTATAAATCTTCAGACTTTATATTTTCTTTTCATCATACTCAATTTCAACTACTGTTACTACTATTTATTGATCTTATCATCATTGTTTATTTCTCTCCTTCAATTAAAAGATAGGGAGTCAATAGAAAATTTGAAATTCCTTTAGGGGTTGCTGAGTTAAAAAGTGAGAACCCTGGAATACACAATTTAGTTAGAAGCCAATCAGAGTATGTTTATTTTATGAAATACATTTTGTTACTATCATTTCTCATTTTATTCTTTGATTGGCAGGGTGCAGTGAATGTCGGAATGAGTGTTGAGGGAGTTTGGGCAGTACGACCGAATACCAATCAGTCTAACCACCTGCCCCCACCAACCCCAAGCAATATGCCAGGCTCATCCAACAATGTCCTTCCACCAGGACCTTACTGTCCAAGTGCCTCGCATCCTGCACCAATGGTGAGTTCCACGTCGAGTAAGAAAAACAAAAAGTAAAGTAGAAGATGGGATTTGAATATTTGAATAATCATCAAGGAGACGTAAACTTGTAGGTTAGACATTATTACATATAAAGCATTTGAAGCTTATTCAAGATTTAACACCTGACATGATTTTTGTAGTATATGGAGATGCCTTTGACTTGTTAAAACATTTTAAATATATGGAATATGAATTATTGAAAAAAAATAATTTTTAATGTATGAAATGGCCAATGTTTGAAGTGATATGAAAGATCAATTATCTGCAGCATGAAAAGAGATTGACACTTCACATGCATAATCTGTTTTGATAAAGGATACATGCATCACGGGTCACTCAGAAGGTTCATTAACTGCAAAGCCTGTCCATAAATTATTATGCTCCTGATAAATATTCTCTCTCTCTCTCTCTCTCTCTCTCTC